AGGGGGCCGGGCAGAGTCGAGTCAGGGTCGAGCCAGGGTCGGAGCCGATACGGAGACCCTTCGGATAGGTTCCGGGGCGACCCGAGATGGAACGATTCATGAGAATCGTTACAATAAGGTATTATAGTAAGTATAAGACATTATGTAAGAAATAAAAAGGTTTAAAAGAAAATTAGTAATTAAATACTTAGCTTAAAAGTCTAAGCGCTTTAGGTATAAATTAAGCCTGTTCTAGGTTTAGTTAGTGTTAAGGCAGTTTATGCTTAAGTTTATGTCTGTGTTGTGTTGTGTTTATGTCAGACGTGCACTAATAATACTCTAGTACGCGTCTGATACAGTTATGTCTAGGATCCGTGGAGGATACTGTGACACCTTACTGTTATGTTCTTTTTATTATAAGTGTTAGATTTTCTTTTTAGCTAGTGTGTTCCTGTCTTTAAAAGCTTGTTCTATGCTAATCTTTCTTAACTATGCCTTATTAGGTTTCTTACACTTCTGCTGTTGCCTATTACCTTTGTACTATTGCTTGTCTTAATCCTTTTTATTATAAGAAGATGCGTCCTTGTAGTCCTTATTAGTCCTATAGTTCTTCCTGCGTGATGTCCTTGTCCTTAGACAAGTGTGTAGAGTGCGTATAAAAGGGTAGTTATTATAATGCTTTTATTTCTAATGCAGCTTAAGATTACCTAGAGCGTAAAAAAAAAAAACTACTTAAAAAGCTAAAGGCAGCTAAAAAGAAAAAGATAAAGAAAAAGAAAAAAAAAATGCAAAAAAGGTATCACAGCTTCTTAGTCTATAAAATAGATTGTAGGGAATAGACTTAATAGTAATTACAACCTTCTAACTATAGTTGTAAACAAAACTATATACATAGAGTTTACATGCGTTTGCATGCGTTGCATGCACTGCATGCGTTACCTGCAACAGCCTGCAACGCCTGCACTGCCTGCAATGTTTAAGTCTCTATTAGACGATGCACTCTGCTAGGCTTTTGTCTAAAAGCTGGAGCTATTCCTCATTTGTCCTGTCACGTGATTCGCTCAGCGCGGGGCTAAGTGTCTTCCATCCGACGTCGTTCGGGCTGTGTGGGACAGCCAGTTGGGTCATTACGGTCTGACTGTTGGCCGTAACATATGTAATGAGGTAGGCGCCCCGCCTGCCAAGCCGATACTATACGACTTTCCCCACTGTACCAAAAGGTACGCACGAGAATACTTAAGCTAAGTATTCTCGCATAGTATAATATATATATAGGCAATGCTAGGGTAAGCACTAGCACTAGCGGTTGTCTCTAGCCTAGCCTAAACCTCTATAAGCGAGAGAAGGCCACGTGGTTGACTGTGCCGACCTCGTTACAAGCGTAATCTAGGCTATGTTTACATAAACTAGCCTAGTACGTTTGTGAAGTGTTATTTAGAGCTTAAAGTAAAGTTTTAAGTGTAAGTATAGTTAAAAGATATTTAG